TATTAACAGATATAAACAAATTTCAATTTAATTAATTTAAAAAAAAAAACAATGAAAATAAAGATAAAAAAATTGATTTAGAAAGATGATATAAATGCATAATAAAAACACTCAATAATTTTTGTTATTTGTGTTTTTTGTTGTTTCCCATGTTGATCTGGTGTCGTCGATACTAAGTCAACACACTCTTTTTCAAGTATATCAAGAGCCACATAAATATTGATTACTCATTAGTCTATGTCGATCAGGTGTATTGTCCTTGCAACTAATAATTATCAGATATATTAAAAAGTAAATCATGCGTTATAAGAACTTAATTTTAGACTTGATACATACTTTTGTTAAAAAAATCAACGTCATGTTTGATAAATATAAGCTAACTTATTTTTTAAGCTTTTCATAAAAATTCAATTTGGATAAGCGAAAAGGTGACTTATAAACTACTTTATTAAGACACACAAACTTTTTGTCACTTTCTTTCAAATATACCTTGGATAATAATTTTTTTTATTAGTAATTTCTTTTTTTTATCATTATTGATATATATTAGTTGTCAAAAAAACAAATATAATAATTTTAAACTGTGTTTATAAATTACATAGATTGTAAAAGTTATATATATATATATATATATATTTGTTTCATATATAATAAAACTTTGATAATTATTTGAATTAAATATTTACTTTAATTCTTATTTTAACATCTTTTAGAGTAAACTACAATTACAGTCACTGTGGTTTGAGAAAGATTGTGATTTTCGTCCTTATGGTTTTGTAATTGTGATTAAATATAGTTAATTGTTTGGTCCGACAAAAATTTAATCGTCTAGTCCCTAATGAAAAAATAAAATGAAATTGTATCATGTGAAAGGTACTCAAGGACTTGCACCTGAACAAAGTTAGTGACAGAAATCAACTAGTAAGAAACTAAAACTATGTAATGACAACAAAAAAATGAAACAATGAATTGTATGGAAAATATTTAATTATGTTATAAAAAAAATATAATTTTTATCAAAAATTATATAGTCTGATTAAATCAATAAGTTTAAAATACCAAAAAAGATAATTAACAAGACAAAAAAAAATAATAATAATAAAAAAACTAAAATAAATAAATGTATGTAGTTTTATTAATAGGACGTATAATTATTTGGTCTCATAAGTCATTCAATTATGCCAAACAAATGTATATTTTATATAAATGTGTTATAGTAAGTTTATAAAATTATACATTAAACTCGAATACATTTGTTTGGGAAAAATAGCTACTATAGTTAATTATTTGGCCTTATAAAAAAAATTAATTGTTTAGCCTCTAATGAAGAAAAAGATAATTAAAATATTATCATATGAGGGGTACTCAACGACTTGCACTTGAATGATGGTAGTAACATAAATCGAACTAATAAAAACTAAAATTATAATGACCAAAAATATGGAACAACGAATTGTATGAAAAAAATATTATTACTTTTATGATAAACAATAAAAATTATAAATTTTAGGAATTAATTCTTGGATCAAAAAATATATATAGTTTGATTAAATAAAAAAGATTAAAATACCAAAAAAAGAAACTAAAAATAATAATTCAAAATATATATATATATATATATATATATATATCCTAAGTTAGACAAAAGATTTTGATAGATTTAGTTGTATGGAAGAAAACAACAATAAATTACAAAGTAGGTAGACGAAAACAACAAATTACAAACAACAAGAACGAAAATCAAAATTTTAAAACCATAGGGATGAAAATTGCAATATTTCACAAACCATAGGAACAAAAACAATAGTTTACTTTTTCTTTTGATAAATCTGTATTTGGTTATAGAAATCCAAAACTTATACTAAAGTAAACTATATTTTCATTGCCATGGTTTTTTAAACCTTTTGATTTTCGTCCTCATGGTTTAGAAACTGCGGCTTTTGTTCCTATGATTTGTAATTCATTGTTATTGTTGTTATTATATTTATAACTTATTTTTGTTTCGATCCACACGGTTTACAGTTTCTTTACCATTTTTGTCCCTTATACTTAAAGTAGGAATTAGTCCCAGAACGAAAATAGTAATAAATTGAAAACAACGGGGACATAAATCACAATTTCTAAACCACTAGAACAAAAATCAAAATTATTAACAAACCACAGGGACAAAAATCGCTAGTTACTCCATATAACATCACACACACACACACATATATACATATATATACACAAACATACATACACGAAAAATCGTGTGAGAATAAAAGTTAAAGTGATAAATATAAGAAAATATTTTGAAGCTTGATCACTTTTAAATCTCAAAACCAATCAATTAATTGTGCTTTAAAGGGGATTAATTTAATGCTTTTCATTAATGTTGATCTACTGGAACTCTTCAATTAAGAGTGATCAAATGATGACTATATTTTCTTACGTTTTCTTATCATAACTCTCTTTATAATTGAAACCCAACCCCATATATGTGTATATATATATATATATGTATATATAAAATAAATCAAATTGAATTATATTATTTACTTACCATCTGATTTATATTAATTATTATATCATATTATTAATGATTTGTTTTAAATATACTATGAAATGTTAAAATCAACTAATTTTTAACATGAAGTTTTTGGTCATTTTGAGTTTCTCAACTAACTTATGTTCTAATTTTTGACAAACGTAATTAGTTTACAACTACCAATTAGCTTATTAGTTAATTTACCAAATAAAAGTTAAAATACTTTTAAAATTATTTTATTATAGCATATACCAGTTCTTATTACAATATCGTACTTTTAATTTTAACATTTTATTATTTAGATAATTTACATATTATTTAATAAATTAAAAATTTTATAATTATTCATTAATATACCAATATTAATAAAACTAGTAAGTTTATGTCACTAACATTTTAAAAATATACGTATTTTTTGAAAAAAAAAATAAGAATTATTACTTTTTTACCAAAAAATAATATTTTTTAAAGAATATATCATACTTGTTTAAATTTTTTAACCTAGTATATTAATATATTAAATTAATTAGACTTTTTTTGAATTATTCATAAATAAAACAATACTAAAAATTGTAGATCACAATATATCTTGCTAGCATAAATGATTATCTCAAAAGGGTTGGGTTCACGTGAGACCAAAGGTTTTTCGTGAGACCCGTAAGACCAATTTATGTTCATTGATCAACTTTATAAGTTAATGATCTGACGGTCTAAATTGCACGGTGGTAATTTGGTAATTATTAAGAAATCTTGTGACGTTTATGAATGTTTATATTTTGTCAGATCATAGATCTATCCAAGGGTTGAGAATTGGTCTTACGGGTCTCACGAAAAACAATTGGTCTCACATGATCTCAAGTCTATCTCAAAAACAATATATCATATTTATTCTAAGAAATACTTACTCTAGAATATTTAATTTGCATACAATTTAATAACAAAAAGTCAAAAAAAGTATTTTTTTTTTAAATCGTAGCAATGAAAATGAAAATCATTAATAATAATTTGAAATAGAATTTTTATTTTTTCAATTTTAGCTATGTCATCAAAATGATGTGTTATCCATATCACCTCATTGAAGCCAAACAAGTAAAAAAATAAATAAAGTGGTTAACCGTTTTATAAGTTAACAAGTTACTCATTACTATAACAGGTAGATTTTTTTACACTACGGTATCAAAATAAAAAACAATTTGAAAGTACATTGTTATAATAAGAAAAAATAAAAATAAAATTTATGAAAATAAATTGTTATTTTATGCATTTAAACCTATTTAATTACATTAAAGTTTAAGGTTCGTAAATAATTTTTTATTTGTTGGAATAATTATTTTTATAAAACATATATTAATTATTACAAACTCAAAAAGGAAAAAAAAACACATAATAAAAATAAAAATAAAAATTGGTTGTGCTATATTTGCTATTTGGCCATGAGGAAAAACACCTATTTTTTGGCTTATAAAAAGTGAAGTCCTTTTGGGGTTCATCATCTTTCTTGAATTTGATTTGTGCAATAAAATCGACATCCTCAGAATCGTATCCAAATATTACTGTCATCTTGATTTCCTATTCTATCCGTGAGATTCTTTTTACTTCTTCTGTTCTCTCTCTCTTCCATTTTTCCATCTCTCTCTCTCTCTCTCTCTCTCTCTCTCTCTCTCTCTCCTTCTTCAAGTATCTTTCTTTTCTACTTAAATATTCTGGAATTTTCTCATCAATTGTTCGCAGGGTTTTAACACACAAGAAAAACCCAGGTTTTTATTGTATGAAGATCTAACAAATTCCATTTCTTGAGCCTTTTTGCTTCAAGAAAAATGTCTCAGACTCACTGGGAAGCTGATAAAATGTAAGTTTCTTAAGATTCTGTCTAGTATTCACTTATTTGTGTTAAATATTTCATGGGTTCTTGTTAGATTTGTGCCTTTGTTGCTTGCGATTTGTTATCTTAAGTTTCTTGATTTTTGATCCAATTTTGGTTTTGTTTCCTCCCGCTTTTCTTTTTCTAGGGTTTGTGCTTCCAGTAGATTTTCTCATTACTTGTGTTAAATTGATTTATTTACTCAGTTGGGGTTTTCATTTCTATTCAGTATCGTCCCATTTTGTGTGATATACAGGTCCTTTATGGTTCTGATCTCGTACTTCAGTAGTTTTAGGGCTAAGAGTTGCTCCATTAACCTTGTATTAGTGTTCTTCATTTGGGTATTTAGGAGTTGGAATTTTCTTTTCCCATTCTGGGTTTGATTAGGCTATTTTCATGTGAAGTTTCTAAGTTAAATGACTTGAGAGAGAGAGAGAGAGAGAGAGAGATCTCAATGTCTTGGAGGGTATTTGTTTTTCATTGGGAACTCTAGGGCCTCTGGATAGTTTGAACAGGCTCTTCTTTGTGTAAAGTTCAAATTTCTGGATAGTTTGAACAGGCTCTTCTTTGTGTAAAGTTCAAATTTTGTTATGGTTTTCAACTAATAAAACTGTGATTCCATTTTATTAACAGGTTAGATGTTTATATACATGATTACTTGGTAAAGAGGGATTTAAAGGCTTCTGCACAGGCGTTTCAAGCCGAAGGAAAAGTCTCTTCTGATCCTGTTGGTAAGAATCCTTCCGTGAAAATTGCAACAATCCCTTTCCAAGAAATTCTTTATGTTAATAATTACATATTTGCTCGTTATCATTATTAAAAGTAGATCGGTGCTAGTGATTTGAGTCGGAATTAGCAAGTTTGTTGCGAGTTCTTTTCCCTAGAAAGTTTGTAATTTTTGGCATATGATACAGCTATTGATGCGCCTGGTGGCTTTCTATTTGAGTGGTGGTCGGTGTTTTGGGACATCTTTATAGCAAGGACCAACGAGAAGCACTCAGAAGTTGCAGCCTCATACATCGAGGTTAGCTTGGATTCTTACATCTTTTTTTCAATTTGTCCCTTTTCGTTTTTCATGCCACAGAATTCTATAAAATGGAATTACTGTACAATAGATAATCACATACTTTTGAAAGATCAAATACGCACCTAGGTGACGCCACTGGCTGTTGTGAACCCAACTGTTGTGGGCATGATTATTCTACATATGTAAGTATATATATATAGACATACAGTATGATTGTATGTATGCATCTATAGACAGGCTTATGTATGTATAGATACGATAATATTTATATGTACAAGTACATTATGCTGAAGAATCTTTTGGAATTGAACAATTATCTCTTATTTTATAATTGCAGACTCAATTGATCAAAGCAAGGGAACAGCAACAGCAGCAGCAGCAGCCACAGCAATCGCCTCATCCACAACAACAGCAACAGCAGCAACACCAGCAGATCCAGATGCAACAGCTCATGTTGCAGCGCCAAGCTCAACAACAACAGCATCATCAACAGCAGCAACAGCAACAACAGCAACAACAACAACAAGTGCAACAACAACAGCAACAACAGCAACAGCAACAACAGCAGCAACAACAACAACAACAACAGCAACAACAGCAGCAGCAGCAACAACAACAACGGAGAGATGGGGCCCACCTCCTCAATGGAACATCAAACAGGCTTGTTGGAAATGAACCTCTTATGAGACAGAATCCTGGAGTTAACGCCATTGCTACGAAAATGTATGAGGAGAAATTGAAAGTGCCACTTCCAAGGGACGCTTTAGATGATGTAGCTATGAAGGTACATCTTTATTCTATTTTGATTATTCATGAGACGAACTCTTTATTTATAGAAATACAGAAATCTTTAAAAAATTAGATTACTTCTGTAGAAAATTGTAACAAACACTATAAGCTGTAAAAATGGTGGTGTTCAATTTGTTAGAAAATCCATAATGATTTTGAATTTGACAAGTTTGCCACTTTTTTGAAGGGTGGGATGAATATGAAATAGAAGTTTGACTTTAATGTCATTCCCATAAAACTTCAAGAAACTTAGATAATTTCATGGAAATTCGTAGGAGACACTACAAGTAGGAAGGATGGTGTCACAAAGTCCATATCAATCTTAATTTGATAAATATACCTCTTTTTTGAGGGATGGGGTGAAGAAATATCAATCTTTATCTGACATATTTGATTACATCCTTTACTTTATAGCAGAGGTATGGTGAGAATGTTGGGCAGCTTTTGGATCCGAACCAAGCATCAATTTTGAAATCTGCTGCTGCAGCTGCTGGTCAACCTTCAGGGTAATGCTGTTTCATACGGTTCTTGTGGATTTTTATCAAGTAGGGTTCTGCAGATTGTCATGTGTTTGCAATTGGAAACAGAATCTTTATTCTTTTGGGGTTTATTCTCTTAAGAAAGTATTATTGTTTTTTTGAAATCTTTGGTGGAAGTCCTTACTTAACCTCTATTTAAGCATTTACATGCATCTAAAGCATGCTAGATCATGTTCATCTTCTAATAGAATTGGAATTTGGAACTTTCTCCATGTTTTTCAGGCAAGTGCTGCATGGTACAGCTGGCAGCATGTCTCCTCAAGTTCAAGGTCGGAGTCAACAACTTCCAGGCTCTACACCGGTGAGTACCCATGTTTGATCTATTCCAAAAAAAAAAACAAACCATACACTTTTTGGCTATTGAGGTAAATTGTTCCAGAACTTCATAATCGATATCAATATTGAACTTCTTGATAGAAAGGAAATTACAACATTAAACTATGATAATCACTACTGATTGTCGGTCAGGATATCTGTATAATTCTGATCAATGAGTGCTTAATGTTTATACCTGGAGTATTTTCCTTTTCGCTCTTTCTGAAGTAATCAACATACCAATGTCTCTATAGAGACCTGAATTCACATCTTATGGGTTGTAGTACCAATGTACCATTGGGCTAATTGGCACTTGTTATATGAACATTTTTGCTTATTGAGGTCAAATGTGCTAATTCTAAGATTTAAAATCGTTGTCATTCAGGACAATGACGCACACCTATAATCACCAATTGGGAAGTGTTTGGAATTCAGAACAAAAGAGTACTTATTCTTAAATCTTTTCCATAAAGGGAAAAATAAACTAAAAACTTCTTACTATGGAAGTCCAATGTGCTAATTCTAAGATTCAAATTCATATAAATGTTTAACCTCATTAAGCCATGAGAATCACTACTGACTGTCAATTGGGAAGTCTGTCTAATTGGGAACAGTCTTTTACATAATTTGCATCTGGAAGTAGTCTCGGCTTTAAAAAACGAACATGGGTTGGAAATCTAATTTATGCTGACCTACATTGGAATAGGAAATAAAGACGGAGATGAACCCAATCATGAATAGAGCTGGAGCTCCTGAAATATCATTGATTGGGATTCCTGGTAATATTGACTTCTTCCGTTGAATTCTGTCTAAATTGACTATGTATTTAACTATCACTTGATGTAACTAACAAGGGCCTTTTCTCTAGGATCAAATCAAGGTGGTAACAACTTGACATTGAAAGGATGGCCACTTACAGTAAGTTCATCAATGATCCCACATATAACTTTCTTGCTTCATTTTCCTCTCGAATATGGAAGCCAATGCTTATCTTGATTAGTCGACCTGGTGAAATCAGCCATACCAGGTGTTCTTGAGTACCCAAAAGCCTGTTGGGCAACATGATTTTTTAATAAAAAGTTTGTAATTACCACATTACTAATATGCCATAGGTAGTTAGTTGAGTACTTAACTTGTGATTTCCGATTTATATCTATTCTTTTTGTTCGCTCTGACTGTATTTGATTATTTGAACTTTGTTATGTCGATGTGTTTTCTGATGTATGGGATTAGTGGTCAGTTATGATGGATAAAAGGTTAGTTTAAACATGTTCTATTTTATTGGTATCTATGAGTGGACATGCAGACGGATTGACCTAAAATCTTGGGTACTTCAGTTATTGGATTATACGTTTATGTTACCTGTGATGGTGTGGTTCATATCTTCATGGGAACTTTGTTTCTTTCCGGCAGGGGTTGGATCAATTGCGATCTGGGATAATGCAACAACAGAAGTCATTTATGCAAGGGTCCCAGTCGTTTCATCAGCTACAGATGATGACGCCACAGCACCAGCAGCAACTTCTGTTAGCACAGCAGAATATGACATCACAATCAGCCAACGAAGAAAGCAGACGGTTAAGAATGCTTCTTAATAGCCGAAACATTCCTGGTTCTGTTGGTGATATTTCAAATGTCGGATCTCCCATGACTGTTCAACCTCGTGGAGATCCAGATGTGTTGCTCAAGGTGATTTTTCATACTCAGATTTCGTTTTTTTTGGGAGGGGGGGTTCTGCTTTATGTGTTCTCTAACAAATTTTATGACTGAAGCTGCCATTAACGAGTTACATTAAGTAACTTAAGTTGTTTGACGTTGTAGTTGAAAATGGCTCAGTTACAGCAGCTTCAGCAGCAACAACAGCAACAAAACGGTAACCAGCAGCAACAGCAGCAGATTCACCATTCTCTTTCTGCACCACAGCCCCAAAACCCGAATCTCAATCTTCAACAAGAAAAGATTGTGGGTGCAAGCAGTGTAACCGGAGACGGGAGCATGTCAAACTCGTTTAGAGGAAACGACCAGGTCAGCTTTCTTCGTGCTGTTATTCGATAGGCCTATTATTACTCTTTTATGTGAGTTGGAATAGATGACTTTCTTGCAGTTTGCAAATAAGCTATGGGTGGAATTTAGTGAATTTAGTACTAGTTAGTTAGGTTCTTAACATGGTTTCTAATGCATTCTAAGGCTTCGAAAAACCAGACTGGAAGAAAGAGAAAGCAGGTTTCATCTTCTGGACCGGCCAACAGCTCTGGAACGGCAAACACAGCTGGACCGTCACCGAGCTCAGCACCCTCGACTCCGTCAACTCATACACCTGGTGACGTGATCTCAGGCGCTTTGCCACATAACAATGACGGTTCTTCCAAACCTTTAATAATGTTTCGTCCTGATGGGCCCACAACGCTTACCTCCCCATCAAATCAATTGGTGAGTGAAGTGTGTGTGGTATGTAAGTGGGTTTGCTTTTCTTTTGTAGTTCTTATTCAACATAGTTTTGCAGTGGGATGATAACGACATTGTGCAGGCTGATATGGATCGTTTTGTGGAAGATGGATCTCTTGATGACAATGTGGAGTCTTTTTTATCTCATGATGATACGGATATGAGGGATACGGTTGGTCGTTGTATGGATGTGAGCAAAGGTGAGAGCTGCTTTGTGTTCTTTTGTTGGTTTTTTTTTATTTGCTTTATTTTGATTTTTATATGATATTTAGTCAAAGTCGACTGCTAGTTTTCTCTCTGAACGTTTGCTTCATTTGATGTTAGGGTTTACGTTTACGGAGGTGAATTCTGTTCGTGCTAGTGTAAGCAAGGTCGTTTGTTGCCATTTCTCATCAGATGGTAAGCTGCTTGCTAGTGGTGGCCATGATAAGAAGGTAAATTCGCAAGATGGTTCTTGTAATTATGGCAAACTTATAATCTAAAAGGATCTATCTGTTTGTTATCGTTGTTATTAAGGTCGGAAATTTCTAGAAGTTACAATTGCATGAAGAAGATTGTATGTTGATGGTTGCAATTCTTGTGGATTTTCTGATGCAGGCTGTACTGTGGTATACAGATTCTTTAAAGGCAAAGACGACTCTTGAAGAACATTCGTCATTGATCACAGATGTGCGCTTCAGCCCAAGCATGCCGCGCCTTGCAACGTCGTCTTTTGATAAAACTGTTCGTGTCTGGGATGCCGACAATGTTAGTTGACCCTTTTATTGTTCGATCAATTCAAACTGAATTTCTGTTCCACCTTTAAAGATTTTAAATTGAATCGTAATACATAATACCGTTATACAATATCTGCAGCCTGGGTTTTCTCTTCGGACCTTTATGGGACATTCTGCATCTGTGATGTCGTTGGATTTCCACCCGAATAAAGATGATCTCATCTGTTCATGTGATGGGGATGGGGAGATACGGTATTGGAGCATAAATAATGGTAGCTGTGCTCGTGTATTTAAGGTATGAGACCGTGACTGTTTGTTGAATGCCATGGATGATTTTATGATGAATCGGAATCTTTATTGTTTTGGTGGTGATATAATCAGGGTGGAACGGCTCAAGTACGATTTCAGCCATGCCATGGAAGATTTCTTGCAGCAGCTTCTGAAAACATTGTATCTATACTCGATGTCGAGACTCAAGCCCTTCGACATTTATTGAAGGTTCATTTCTTTCTTTTCTGTGTCTATTCCTTCCGTTTTCAACAAAATTTGTGACGGAACATTGAATAATGTAGGGACATACGAAGCCGATTCATTCAGTTTGCTGGGATCCAAGCGGGGAGTATTTGGCATCGGTTAGCGAGGATTCAGTTCGAGTGTGGTCTCTGATGTCGGGAAATGAAGGGGAGTGTGTACATGATCTGAGTTGTAACGGGAACAAGTTCCACTCGTGTGTTTTTCATCCCAGTTACGCTTCCTTGTTGGTCATCGGCTGTTACCAGGCAGGTTTTCAGAATTCATCGGGAATCATATTATTATATGTTTACGCTAAAATGTAGAGTGATTATTGATTTGAATGCAATGCAATGCAGTCTCTGGAGCTATGGAACATGCAGGAGAACAAGACGATGACTCTAGCGGCCCACGATGGATTGATTGCTGGTTTGGCGTTATCAATGGCCACGGGGTTGGTAGCGTCGGCTAGCCACGATAAGATCGTTAAACTTTGGAAGTGAAAAAAATTGGGAAACAGAAACCTTGTATGATTATGATTATGATTATGATGATGATGATATGATGTTGTAGAAGAATGAATCAAATTGTATGTGTTTATATGCCATCTTCACTCGTACAACACACCATCTATCTGTTTTTATATATCATCTACATCTTTTACTGCCTATCCCTATAATTTTCTTAAAAATAAAATATCAAAAGTTAAAATATATTTATTTGTTTTCATGTCGTGGTTTGTGGTACTTTTTAATTTAATTAAAGTAAAAAATAATTTATTTTCAGAAAAAAAGAAATAAAATAAGTTTATTAAACAAAAAAAGTATAGTCAGTGGTAGCAATACGGCGACGAGCTCCTAGTCGTTGCCAATCTCCGATTCAAGATCTTAACAATTTCCGCCATTACCAGCCTGCCACCAGCTTCCACCTCTCTTTAAATGCGTGTTTTCTTGATAGGATTTAACGGAAGTCAATGCATACTTCACAAATCCTTAAACAATGACGAAATTTCCCCAAATTAGTTAGAACTAGGACATGCTGTTCTCCAACCATTAGGTAATTCATAAATTTTACTGATGTCAGGTAATGATTAGTTTCTCTTATTGTCATCGGCTGTTTTGCGATTTCGTCGGTGGTATAACTTATAAGTATAGTTCGCAAATTTTGGCTTCCTCGTATGATGATGGATATTCTCATCTGCAGCTTGAAGATTTAAGGATTGTAGAAAATTCAGTAGTTAAATTGAAAGCTACGATGACTGAATTGGTAATCGTTTTTTTTCTCTTCTTGATTTGATCAGAGGGTTTGTCGTATCTTTTCTCAATGGAAACTATGTTGGAGTTGAAAAAAACCCCTAATTGAATACATTTTTCGTTAGATCTCAAATTTGTTTTTTCTTTTTTTCTTTTCTTTCTGTGGTATTCTTTAGGAACAACAGATCACAGAAACTTTGAAGAAGATGAATGCTTTAAGAGAGGGCGCGGAGAACGCTGGTGCGACTGGTAGCGTACAGAGTTTACTTTCCCTTCTAGAGACGTTAAAGGTCTTCATATTCATAAGTTAAATCTATGCTTCGATATTTATTAAACCATAATAGTCAGTTGTGTATTCTTGTGTTTAAATTATCACAGTACTGATTGTATTGATGCAGGAGAGTGCATAGGGCTAAAAGCAAAATTGGTTTTACACTGTTGACTTAAGTTAATTTTATTTTAAATCGTATGAAAAGTATAGATATTTCTATCAGTTTTTTTATGTGCCGTTTTCTGTGACAACCAAGCTTTCTAGTTACAGCAATTTAGGTGTTGAATCATTGGAAAAAATGGCATCTTAGGTTCTCGAGAAGCAAGAAGCAGAAGTTGAGCTAAATTACAGTGAAGAATGTGCTAGACTGCAATTGGAGGTCAGTGAGTTGGAAGATTTGATCCAGAACAATGATCACGAGGGGAGTTTTGAACGGTGTGTTGATCGTTCTTTGGCTAATGCTGTTGAAAGACTGAATTTAGCAAAGACGGTATTACATATGATCTTTCCTAATAGTTTCTGACTATGTAGACAAACATATAGTGTAGCCATATAAATGTGTGTGCTTCCTATGATCCAAGGTCATGTTCATATCACCAGGGATCATGTCATTAAAATGCACAAGGTTGGGATAAGGGCTTTCATTATTCTGAGGATGATGTAACATGATCGATTGTCTTCTTAGTAAATAAAATACATAAATGTAAATGTATTGAAATATTCTGAACTCTATTCCCCATATTCTGAAGTATCTTACACTGCATGTCTGCTTATACATGTATCCAGATGGGGTTGTCAGTAAACAAATCGAGGTGCACCGTAACTCTTGAAATTTACTAAAATACATGATCGTTTTTGGAGTTTCTCTAGTTTCTCTAGTTTTTGGAGTTTCTCTAGCTTTCTATACATAACTGTACTATGATTCGCCTTGAATATTCAAACTGAAAACATTATTCATACTGGAAGTATATTATCTTGAGCTTATTTGAAATCTGTTTATGTTTTTACTTGTTTTGATGGTTTTATGGGGATTCATGTTTTGATGATATTGTGTAGGATCTTGCTTCAAAGCTAAGGAAAATTATATCATTGAAGCGCCAGTGTGATGACGTGCCAACACAAGCAGAACTCATCCAGTAAGTTGCTTTTCAACATCTGCCACTTTTAGTGTTTAAACTTCATATCTTTAAAAGCTAGATCCACAATCATTTGCACTGTAAAATTGTCTGCACAACAAAAAGATACTGTTTTCATACAATGAAAGATGGCATGGAGAACTCAAAATATTTTTCGCTAATTAAACAATGGATATAGAAGGACATGGTACCCAAATAGATGAAGGGAAAAGCTTTAGTTCCTGTAACAGATGATGGAAATGACTAGAAAGTACCATATTCTGAAACAAGAATACATCACCGAATGGATGTTCCCTATATGAATAAAGGAATCATTAGCTGCTTTGCTCCACTCCATAGTTACATTTTCTAGATAATAGCTACACAAAATCCTTAGCTCCATTCTGAGGCTTTAATTGCATTTTCACAGAAGATCAGTTGAGTTTGTTAAAGAAATTTGAAACTTATAGGGATTAAATTTGATATGTTACGAAAATTATACAAAACCTTTTGTTATCTGTTTACTGTCTAAACGTGTATCTAATTATTTCAAGATGAGTGATTTACATAATCCAAGCTAGGTAGACTGAGAAGAATCACCTGTTTCATTGTTCGTTATAAATATTTTGTAACGACTTCCTCCATTCGACTACAACAAATTACCACCAACTTGCGATTATATATATGGAGGATAAGTAGAACCAACATTATTGTGTGAAGTTCAACATCCTTTACTTGTAAGATATGAAAAATATCAACCTAATATATTTGTGTTAAATGTGAAAGCATTGTCTATGCTGCTTCTTCTACCTCTTGGGGTAGAGGAAAGGTATGCATACATCCTACACCCCGAGGCCCTACCTCTGCATGAGATACTAAGTTTATTGGTTTGGTTGTCATTACTGCAGGTATGAGCGTCGATTTTCAGAGCTTAATGTTCACATTCAGGTATATCAGATTCTTATTCATTTATAATCAATCTTCATTTCTCCCGTATAGTATCAATTCATCAGTCTTTATTTTTTTCATCCTTATTTTTGTTTGTTTTTGCACAGGGAAAGCTTCGGCAAACTCGTAAATACTATGCCACCTATAATGCTTTGTTGGAAATAAAAGAACTAATGCTAAAGGAAACATCCTTATTAAACTCTATGAGTTCACAGGTACATTAAACATTCCATCTTGTCTAGCTTGATATGTGTTATTTATTATGCCTTCGTTGTTGGTACTTGACTACTTGGTTCATTTGTGCCATTGAAATGCTATCATAATCATTCTCTTGACCATTGAACACCACTTGCAAATCATTTTTCTATCCTCTGTATCTTGTCGTGATTCGTGACAAGCATATTGCCTTGGTTCTCCATCTATTTGACAAGCAAAATTATTTTCTAGTACGCTTGTTATCTAGTACGCCTGAACAATCAAGAAAAGTGAATCAGTGCCTACTTCCTGGACTTGTTATCTATCTATAGTTCACTACAACTTCCTCTAACTAAACTAACCAACTGATTTTCCACCCTTATTTATTAATATGTAGCAAAATCATACTGTTTACTAAACTACCCTTGAAATCATCATCCTTTATTCCTTCTCTCATACATGAATCTTATTGTTGGTTTATCGATAGCCGCCTTCCAGACTTCACCTTGTCGTCAAGGTGGAAACACGAAAATTAATTCTTTATTGGTTTCTTGAAACACTAATACATTGAGCTCCTTTTTTTATACATTCGTGTCCTGGTGAATACATCTTGTCGCAGCACTACAAAGTCCCTGGGAGCTGTAACTCGTGATTAGAAAAATCTCCCGAGGTTTTAGAAACCGATATAGCAACAACCTCTCAACTCCTCCCAAAGTACAATAAACCATCACTTATGCTCCCACTGATACCATCTGAAGGCATCGCCATCAAAAGATATTACTGCTACTTCCATACTTCTTATTGGTCAATCTATTCAAGGCGCAACACCTAACTTCTCTCAATATCCATCTGTCAGGATTTGTTCCATTGAATACCAGTTCTAAACGGCGGCCTTTCATTGCAAAGAACGAGGCGTCGTCGGTGGTGTTCTTCTCGCTGTTATGTCCTTGTTTCCCTCCCTCCATCTCATTGTGTCCTCCAGCTGTTGAGGTTTTCACTGATTCTTCTTGCAATCACAGAATCGCCTCCAGCTGCTGCATCATCGATTGAACATTCCCTTTCCTTCGCAAGAGACGGCCTTTGCCTGAAATCCTTCGAATGATTCCTCCATGTTTTTGACCTTAGATTTTACGCTTCCAGGCATGGTCTGGGTCTCCTGTTTTGATACCAATTGATGCACATTGGTATTATTCTGAGAATTAAATGCAACGGATTCACAGAAAAGTTAAATTGTTTACTGAATAAACAATCTTTCAAGAGGCTGGATCCAACAACTCCTAGATCTTCTGAAAAGAATGCCCTCTTATGAAATTCACCTCATCTTACTCGAGGGGTATATGACCAGTGGCTTCCAAATGAACTCCCTATTACTAGTGATTCTATTCTCTTTTCTTTTAACCTTACCGATCTTATTTCTTAAGTGTGTATCATAATCAAAGCCTGCTTTCTGTTCTCTAATTCCTTTAGTCTTCATGTACCCATTTAGTTTCTTGTGCACATGCAATATTTGCTCTCACAAAAGAAAATGAAAAGAACTGAAAATGAGTCAGCGTTCATTTCATCCCAATTGCTCTTGAGAGTTGAAAAATTCATTGGTTGCTTGTAAAATTAGTAATTAGTCTTACATATTTTGCAGTTTATCTCATACTACAGAGGTAAATAAAATATCTGGATAGACTGCCAATTTGACTTTTTTGAACCCCTACTGCATTTGAATTTACTAGCATGAATGGATGAAAAAGACCCGTAGATGAATTCATGTTGCAATGCTTTGACCGTTGAAACTAAATGCAAACCTACATTGATCTCAACTATTGTATTTTCACAAAACTACAATATGAAAAGTCATGAATCCTTATGGTCTTTGATGTCATCTCCTTTTTTCTTTTCTATTTTAAACAGTTCCATGATGCGCTTAATAGTCCTGCTGGTCGTGCAACGTTGACAAGTTCCATGGATGGAATTTCAAAGAGTATTCAGCAGGTGCCATAATATGTTACTTTTCAGTTAAAAATGTATTAAATCCTTCTACAAAGTTTGACACCAAAGTATTTCTATTTGTTATACTTCCTTTGAAAATTGCAGCAATGTCTATTTTGAGTCGTTCCATGAAAATTATAACATCTCTATTTCTGGAAATCAAGTTGCACGTGATTACCTTTATGCCTGCATAAAAGATTGATGATATTGATTTGGGTCTTGAAGATTTCCTTATTTTGTCATTGTATCCTAGACGTTTGACAAACAGTTAAAACATTTGTCTAAGACTATTATGTGCCTACTAATTGGATGGTTATTTGTTGTGCAGAAGCTCCACAATGTGGAACTTACGTTGCAAGCAGAGCAGAAAGCTTGTGAAAGTCTGAAGGAAAAGCATGGTGCAGCAAACTTGGAGAAAAGACGTTGCTATTCTCTGTTGAAGGCATTTCAAGTAAGCAAATTGTTTACTAATCATATCCTCTTTTGTGTTAAATTCTACTTATATGTCTGTTTTACTCTTATAATTATCAGGAAGAATGTGCGAGGAATGAGAGACTTCGGAATCAAACTCTCTAAGTCTTGGATGAGGATTAATTTGTCCAAGATCCATCTAACCACTGTGTTGGATGTGAAAAGCGTTGTGCTTTTGAAAAAAATATAACTGACGATCACAGCGTCATTGGGTCAGTGATGCCAGAGTTACTGCCTATAGGAAAGTTAAGGGTTCATACCTGACAAAGGTGAAAAGCGTGCATGAGTATTTACGGTATATAATATTTTATATATAAGTTGTCTCATGTAAATGTTACCATACAAACCAATTTCAGCCATCTGGGCAGATTATCAAATCAATGTCAAAATTGTGGATTAATTCGGTTCCAAAATTTACTCTCCACCTTATTTGCAGATTAATTCGGTTCCGAAATTTACTCTCAACATACACAAAATCAAAGGCCGAAATTGGTTTGGGTAACATTTATATTTATTAGTTGAAACCTTATTTATATATATATATAATTTAAATTCAAAACTTTTAGAGAAGAGCTTCGGTCCTTGTGGTTTGGTGAAAATCATGATTTGGTCCCTAAATTTCATTTATTACATAAAAGGTAATGTGGTTCATACTTTGTCATGGTTTTGGTCTCTCGACCAAACGGCCATCCACCTTCTCCTTTAACTTTAAGGGTGTTTCGGCCTTTCTATCATTTTTTCCATTTTAATATTAATATTTGGTTCTTAAATGCACCAATTAGATGGTGACATGTGTTGTACATTCTTCTTCTGCATCCACCATCACTTCATCCCTGCTAACTAGCACCCCACCCACAAACAAAACCCAATTACCTAAGATCAACCAGCAAATCTTCAAGAACACTCATAACCTCACATATACTAAATAAGGGAAGTATCTGGAGAGAGTATAATAGGTGTCAAGTGTTGAGGAAGCAAAGTGTATGGATAAGTGAGGTTTTGGCTGAAAAGGTTTCCTATAAAAAAAACAATAGAAAGGACAAAAGGACTAAAAGGAAAAAAAAGGTAAAGCATGGGAAAAGATATGGGCTAGCCGGTAGCCACCCATATGACGCTGGCCAAGAGGACTTGCGGGTGGACTCCAATGAGTTGCAGGGGGTGACATTACGGGCTTGAGTTTGAAAAAAAAAAAAACTTAGGAGGACAGACGAAGAGTCCTATGACGTGGGATGCAGCTCAAAACCGTGGGAAAAGTTGCACATCATTTTGTTCTCGTTTCTTGATTCTTGTGCAACATCAAATGTGATATAATAACATCATTCAAAGAAACAGAAATTAAGATTAAAATGGTGGAAAATAACAAAAGATCGGAATGCCTTTATAGTTAACAGGGGGGTTTGGTCTAGGGACCAAAGTTGTGAGGAAGTGCAAATCATGGGTCCTTTTATGTAATAAATGAAGTTTGGATGATTTTCATCGAATTATTGGAACCGGAACCATAATTTACTCAAAGCTTTAAAGTAAAACTTAATTGTTTATGGCTATTTACCACAAACGCTTACCTGATAAGTGTTTATCGGTCAGATCGCTTGCTTTTTATAGACATGTTCTTGACATTTTATAGATTCTGGGCGAACTTAAAAAGATGACTTACTGCAAGAAACAAGGCTTTTAAGTTGTTGTTAAAAGTCTATTTATCATCAGAAAGAGTATATAACAGCAACATGTTGTCGCTATAACTTATGGCAGAAACATATCATCGTTAAAAAGCGCATCATCAAAGCTCACTTTTCTTGTAGTGATCATCAGTAAGTACGAAAAAAATGCATTAAATATTTTTCATTAGTATAAAATTGAGTACAATAAATGTTAATAATTTACTGAGGAAAGAAATCTTATTTAACTTTATTATAGAAATATAAGAGAGTACCTAAATTTACATACGTATGAGTTAATTTGAAACCAAGAGTATAGATACTATGGTTGATAAATTTTTACATAAAATAAGAATTTTTTTAGTTTATAACAAGAAATATATATTATTTTAATACAAAAAAAAGAATTTGTGTAAATGAAGTAATCCTGAGGGTCAATAAGAGATCAATAATAGAGAATATTACTAAGGTTTTCTAGACAAGTAGACAAATAATGATAAAAAAGAATATGAAAGAAAAGATGATCCATTGAGATCCAATAAGAATAAATAATGAATTAAACATATAATATGCAAGCTCAACAAATAGTTGTTTGAGCACTTAAATAAAATCTTGTGGTGTGGTGGAATCCCGATGAAAGATACATAAGTCAAACAATTCATAAAAATATTTAAATTCTATTTTCCTTCTTTTTTGCTCAACTAAAATAAGATGTTAAGATTAAAAGTTTATGGAACATGACATGTATAAGAGACATTACTAAATACATCTAGTAAGGAAAATTTATTGATTAATCACAAAACCATGAAACACGTCATAAATCATAAGAACAATAGATTGATTGTCAAACAATAGAAAAATATTTTTTGTAGAAGCAAAAACAGATAACAATAGTCAACAAAAACAATTAAAACAACATAACCAAATAGCAATAGTTAATACAAGCAGAAATAGATACAATTAATTTTTTATTTTATTTTTTCCCCAATGTAATTAGTCGATATATTTTTGGATCCTTACTATCTACTAATTTTTTTGCCTTTTATTATATACTACAATTTTTTGGGTTTCTCAAATTTATTAAATTATTTTAAACTACTATTGTATTTTAAGGGAAAAATTTAGGCCCCTGATATTTTGGGCCTTGGGCATGCGCCTGTGCCGCCCTTCCCCAGGGACGACCCTGCCGAGAATCTTACATGGTGAGCAATAACAAATACTGAGAGTTTTACCCGGTAAATGAGAGTGATGACTTTTACCCAGTTTCGGAGTAAATTGTTGTATAAGATCTCGTTTTGATGGATTAAAAAATCTTATCCAATAAAGTAACTGAGAGTATCGACCTACCAATAAATCAATAAATGCTTACTAGTTACTAAACGTTTACTCGGAAAGTGTTTATCGTGTAACTTTCCTTACCGAATGAACATGACAAGGGTCAAAAATCTTACCCAGTAAGAACAATGATAAAGATGAAAAGTCTTACTCTGTAAGTGAAGGTGACGACTCTTACTCAGGTAAGTGTTTACCGGGTAAATTGTTGCATAGAATACCATTTTGATGTACTATAATTTTTCCCGGTAAAATAAATTATATTGTTGACTCCTAATATAAACGTTTATCCGGTAAGCATTTAAGTAAACGGTTTCATAGATAAACGTTTTGATAAATAGCCCGTTAGAACGTAAACGTTAGAAATTTCAAACGTCTTTCACGTGGAGTTGGTCAACACTTTTCAGTAAAGCACGAAGGCTGCTGGGATTTTTTTTTTCTTATATAATTTCCACAAATCACATGTTTTTTAATAAATATTATAAAACTAAATATGAAAAAAAAAAACTAATATTAAAATGAGAGGTTTTTCCAATTATTACAACTGGTTTCATACTAACTTCGCCATATTTGCATGTCATAATCATTTAAAACGTTATATTATTTTCAACAAAAACCAATTACGTAATCTTATTTTTCTAATTCGGATATATTATTATTTTCAAAACGATACTATCACTTTCATAGAAAAAGATCTGAGGGTATCGACATGGTCGTAGATCCTACCAATGCTACTACAACGCTTTCTTCTTGTCCTTAGTTATCTGGCAGCTTTGACTTCGATTTAACCGTAGAATGATAGATTTTTAACTTTTCGACAACGGGGTTTGTCGATATACGTGAAGAAGAAGGGGCTCGAGCAGGTGAAAAATTGAAGTTTTGACAACAGATTCACAATCTTTTTCTATTCGCAAATGGTGGTGGTGATTGTCGTGAAAGACAACAGGGAAATCGTGTTAAAAGTTTTTCTGGTTTCGTTTATTTCTTCAAAATAAGCTAACAATTGTAATGATAAATGTGTTAAAATTTACTCCATTCGTCATAAAATAAGTATAAAAAAAGCCAGTTTTTTTATAATAAAATATGTAGACCTTAAATATATGTTTGCATAATAACACTTTACCTCCATAATATAATAATTAATGAACAATAATTCAAGACAATTATATTATCATTTAAGAATGAAAAGGATATGTTTCTAAATTACTTTATCATACTTGTATCTTTGACTAAATATGACATTTAATTTTAAAATAATTTTATTACTTATTATTTAAAAAGGTAAATTGCATGAAAAAATAACGTACTTTAACTTGATTCTTATTTTGGGTAACGTATTTTCAAAACTTTTATTTTGGTACCTAAGATGTAAAGTTGTAAACATTTAAGTACCCGGGTAACTGGTTGAAGTATTAACCGGTTATCATACTGATGTGGCGAGTGATGTGGTATCCAACTAAGTATTATTTGTTGACCTAGTCGGTGACGTGTATTTTTTTAATCTAAAATTAGTCTTTTTTTTTTGTCTAAAATTAGTCTTCACTGGGTTACCCGGGTACTTAAATGTTTAAAACTTTACATCTTAGGTACCAAAATGAAAGTTATGAAAGTATGTTACCCAGAATAGGAATCAATTTAAACTACGTTACTTTTTCATGCAATTTGCCCTATTTAAAAATCCAAAAATCACAATTCTAGAAGTGTAAAATTCTTGTCATACCTTCACCCTTCATCCAAGTTTATATTTTAATTTACGATTTTGATACAATCCTTAATGTGATTTTAAGTTTTACAGTCTGTTTTAAATATACAATTAATAAAACTAGACTAGGTAGTGAAAATATGACAGGAAAGTTTTCTCCATTCCACCAAATGACATTTGACCTAGCGGTATGTGAGTCATTGACTTTTTAGAAGGTCAAAAGTTCAAACCTCACCAAAGATGAGAGAGATGTGTGAGTTATTTGTTCTATTTATCGTATATAAATATTATATACTTCAAAAAAAATTCTTCATTCCTGTATGATTTGTATATTGATACACCATTCAAATAATTAAATCAGATCTTAATAAACCCATAACTTCTCTCTTTAAAAGCATTTATACTCTTGCAATAATGAATGGAAAGGCTAATCTTTCATCATTAATCTATTATTATTATTATTTGAATTATTGATCCCAAGATAATTAATAACCTCATGTGTTAGATTTAAATTTATATAGAGACTAAATTAGTATTTTTATTATAAAATTTTATTTTGGGATATCTTTTCAGAAAAAAAGTATTTAGAAGTTTCAATCGTTTTAGATTTCCTTTTACTTTTAATTTTTTTTATTACACCAAAGATAAATATATACAAATTACAAATATATTATTTTTGGCTTTTGATAAAAATTAGAGAGGTACTGAGGTGGGTTATAA